GTGACATCATCTATGTATATCACTTTTGGTATAAGGCAAAAGACTTCAGTTTCAATTTAGGAGTATCCTTCATTTGAATAAATAACTGAGTTATTTAAGAATTTGATCAAGAGGATTTCATCTTGTGAACTTCTTAAGAAAGTGATATTTATCATCAAAATTAACTCAGTTGAATTAAACTCATTAATTTATGAAGTATCTTGATTGAGTTTAATGGACTAATCCATTTATGTAGTTTCAATATTGTTTTTTATATGAAAAGTCAGATAATCTTTAATTTGAAAACCATCAGTTATAACAATTTGAGTAGTGAAAGATAATTTAAATACTCTTATAGCAGAGTAAATCTAAGAAGTCCCTACACTCTATAATTATGGTTTTGGATAATTTGGTACGATACTTACTCCATTCAGAAATATGTACTTATTTTCTGATTTACATTAATCATCACACCCATCACCTTTAATAAGATTTCCATCATCACATTCCTCCTCATTTACTTTAATATAATCTCCACATTTATTAAAACAAGTTCCATATATCTCGTCTGCATAATATCCTGATTAACAGAGTTAACATTTTTAATTCTTCTATTATGGAAACTTACAACTTATACAATTATTAGCTTAATCCATACATTCCAAACAATTTATTGAGCATTCAATACAATCATTTTTATCTAAAAAATAACCAACTTTGCATTTAATACATTAAGATTTTTTTGTTAAAGGATTCACTTAGCATTTAATGCAATTAGTTGAACATTGAAAACAAATGGATTATTTTAGTATTTCATTAGAACAAGAGTAGTTATGATCAATTTTACAATTAGAACAACCATCTCTATTTACATAATTTCCATCATCACATTCTTCTCCATATGTCCAAATTAAATCTTTACAATCTTAATATTTACAACTTTCTTAAGATTTCCCCAATTAATTTAAACATGAAATACATACTCCATCTTCACTTTCAAAATAATTTTCAATACACACACATTTTTTATTTTTTAAAATTCTATTTAGTCTTTTATCACAACTTATACAATGAAATTAATTTTCAATGCAATTAAGGCAAGATTAATAACATTAAGAACAACTATTTTAATTCCAAAAGTATCCTAGACTGCAATTGCATTGAAAATTCAAATCTAAATGTAAATTAGATAGCATAACACATTCTTAACATATAGTTTTACTTAAACATTTTTTACATGGGTATTCACATCTCTAACATTGATTTTACTATTCATAATATCCAACTTTACATATACATTAATTATAAGGATTAATTTCGTAATTAGATCTACAAGTAACACATTTTTCAGATAATTCATTACAGGTTAAACAATTTTGATTGCATTACTCACATTTCTACTCCAGTTGAAAATAGCCATCTAAACATATATCACAATTATATTAATTTCCACATAACTTACAATAAGGAAGACATTTTTCACATAAACTCAATTCATTTAGAAAGTATCCATCTTAACAGATTTGGCAATTGATTTGATTTTAACAAATATCACAGTGATCAATACATTTAAAACATCTACTAATGGAGGTTAAATAGTATCCCTTCATACAATTAATACAACTATCGAATCCCTAACAATCTATACAATATTAATCACAACAAAAGTCTCCTTTTTTCACAAATCCTTCTTTGCATAGGCATTAATAATCTTTGACAATTTAATTAAGATCCACACATGTCAAACATTTATTAATAGCATCAATACAAGTAGAACATGGATTTTGACATTTAATACATACAATACCTTATTAGAAATATCCAGGTTTACAAACACATTATTTATTGGAATCTAAGATTTGATTAATATCTATGCAGTTAATACACCCATTAGAATCACATTCAAAACATGGTTCTTAACATTTTGCACATGTGATTAGGGTATTAGAATAATAAGTTGATTAGCAAACACATTAGAATAAATCATTAAGTTAATGATGAGGATCAACACATGTCAAGCATTTAGTGGTAGATATATCACAAGTTTAACATGGTTTTATACAAGGCATGCAAAAGTAATTATCATCAAATATCCATCCAGAATCGCATTCACAAGATTCAGGTTATTAATGTAATTGATCTTAACAAGTGATACATTTATCTATTGTATCTACACAATCTAAACAAGGTAATTAACATTTAATGCATGTGATACCATCAGCATTTAAAATCCAACCTGACTTGCATTCGCAAAAGTTTGAATTAGTTAAAATTTAATTACTATCAACACATGATAGACAGTGATTCTCATTCTATTCACAAGTTTAACATGGACTTATACATTATTAACATGTTTGAGAATCAACCTAAAAATAGTTGGATTAGCATTCACATTTATTTTGTATATTTTAATTTAATGTAAAAGTAGAGATGCATTCAGTACAATCTTCATCAGTATTTTTACACTTTGAACATGGTGGTGTGCAAAGCTAACATTAGTTTGATCCATCAATATAATATCCATCATTGCAAACACATAAAAAATTGATTGCTGTTTTATGAATGTCAATACATGAAGTACAATCATTTGAATTGTTGACACAAGCCGAACATGGAGATGTGCAAGGAAAACATTATTAATTTGAAAGGTATTTGCCAACATCACATTAGGTACAAGTACTACTAGTACCTGAACATGTCTTACAATTCGTATCACAAATTGAGCAAGTAGTTCCAATTATAAAATAGTGATCTTCACAAGTTTAACATACAGTATTAGATGTGCAAGTAGCACACTAAGTAGGGCAGGCTTAACAACTTGAGCCAGATTTATAAAACTTTGGAAGGCAATTTGAGCAATTACTAGAAGAACTACAAACATCACATCCATTAGAACAAGCACCACATTTATACACTGGAAAAGAAAAATAACCTAAAAAAGAAATACATAAAAGCATTACGATAAAATTGTGGCTTACAAGAGTCACATGTTACGAGATCTGGGCAACTAAAGCAATTAGAGGGACAATCCAAACAGGAACCTGCGATTTCAAGTTATCCCGGATCACAACTCTAAGTTACTAAAATATTATTAGGTATCTTTACATAGACAATTCATTAAGATAAGATAGACTGTAAGCATGTAGTCGGATTTTATAAACAATAATATTATATAGAAAAAGTTGATGATGTAATTAGGATTTTATGAACATTTTTTTGAGAAATTCATTACAAAGTATTAATCATTAAATTAACTTTAAAAGACTTAAATTAATTGTCACTTGTAGATTTCTACATAGAATTTTTTTTAATTTCTTACAGTTGTAATCATAATAACCATAGGAAAGACTTGTTAAACGGACAATAATAATTATCTCTATTTATAATATAGTTAAATACTAAAATTCAAATAATTTTTNAGAATAATAAGTTGATTAGCAAACACATTAGAATAAATCATTAAGTTAATGATGAGGATCAACACATGTCAAGCATTTAGTGGTAGATATATCACAAGTTTAACATGGTTTTATACAAGGCATGCAAAAGTAATTATCATCAAATATCCATCCAGAATCGCATTCACAAGATTCAGGTTATTAATGTAATTGATCTTAACAAGTGATACATTTATCTATTGTATCTACACAATCTAAACAAGGTAATTAACATTTAATGCATGTGATACCATCAGCATTTAAAATCCAACCTGACTTGCATTCGCAAAAGTTTGAATTAGTTAAAATTTAATTACTATCAACACATGATAGACAGTGATTCTCATTCTATTCACAAGTTTAACATGGACTTATACATTATTAACATGTTTGAGAATCAACCTAAAAATAGTTGGATTAGCATTCACATTTATTTTGTATATTTTAATTTAATGTAAAAGTAGAGATGCATTCAGTACAATCTTCATCAGTATTTTTACACTTTGAACATGGTGGTGTGCAAAGCTAACATTAGTTTGATCCATCAATATAATATCCATCATTGCAAACACATAAAAAATTGATTGCTGTTTTATGAATGTCAATACATGAAGTACAATCATTTGAATTGTTGACACAAGCCGAACATGGAGATGTGCAAGGAAAACATTATTAATTTGAAAGGTATTTGCCAACATCACATTAGGTACAAGTACTACTAGTACCTGAACATGTCTTACAATTCGTATCACAAATTGAGCAAGTAGTTCCAATTATAAAATAGTGATCTTCACAAGTTTAACATACAGTATTAGATGTGCAAGTAGCACATTAAGCAGGACAAGCTTAACAATTTGAACCAGATTTAAAAAATTTAGGAAAGCAAGTTGAGCAAATTTTTTATAATATTATGTTTAGACTACAAACTTTGCATCCATTTTAACAAGTATCACATGCAACAATTAAAGAATAAAAGCCTGGCTTACATTAGTCACATTTTGAAGCATCGGGGCAACTTACACAATTAGATATACAATCTACACATTAACCATTAACTTCAACTTATCCTTAATTACAACTCCAAGTTACTAAAATAGTTTAACTTGTCTTTACATAAACAGTTCATTAGAATAAGGTAGATTCGAAATATTTTGTCGGACATTAAAAAAAATAAATAATATATGAGAAATTGATGATTCAATTAGAATTTAATGGATAAGTTTATAAGAAATTTATTACAATTAATTATTCACCATAAACTTAAATTAATTTTCACTTGTTGGTTTCTACACTTTTGAATTGAGTATTTGTATTATCAATATATTGTTTAATACTAACCTCATTCATATAGAATTTATAAGAAATTATTATTATCATCATAATTTTTCCAATAGCTTGTACTAGTTATTTTTAACAAAATAACTATAAGATAATAATATATTTCATATAAACGTTAAATATTAAAATTCAAATATTTTTGTTTATAAATATGAATTGATTTGCTATTTTATTAAATTATTTCAATCAAATTTTTTGATTAGTTTAGATTATTAATAATTATTAATTAATCTTGAAGACTTTTTATAAACTTTATTGTACGGTGTTTTTAATAATTATTATTTTTTATTTTCTTAAAATAATTTTTATATTTATCATGATACTCTTTTTATTGTTTAATGTCTATAAATCTATAATATCAAATATAAAAATTATACCATAAGTAAATTTAAGATCTATGTCCCTTATCTCTTTTTCTCATTTAAAATTGCTAAAAATATAAAATAATTCAATTCTTAATTTTTGTCTCATAATTATCTAGATAAAATTTTATTTTATTTTATATTTTATTGAACTTTTAATATTGACTTTTTATTTTAAAATAACGAAAAGAAAAAAGAAATATTTAGTTCATGAAATCAATATCCAATTCTCCTGTTAAATTATATTCAACAGCAATTAATCATTGAAATCCCCTCAATTATTTCTCATCGCTATTATGTAATATTTTTTTTTCATATTAAATATTGATTTAATAATCGCAAGTAACTATTTTTATTTAATTAATTGTAATGAGATAAATTTATAAACTTGATATTTTTACTAACAAAAAGAAACTTGTTATTATTATTATACTTTTGATATACTTGAAAAGCGACTTCTTATCAAAATTTATTTTTTTTAAAATACCTCTCTAAAATTTCCAGCATAGTATCCTTGAATTAAATAGATTTTATAAATGAAAATACTTTTAAGTGATGAATTGAAAATATCGATGAAAGATATTAAATAAGTTTATAACAATATAATAAAAGTTTAATAGATTGATTCCTAACTAATTTTATTATTAATGTAATTTTATGAATTTGATGATTATTTGATATATTCTTTATAAAACTAAGAATTTTATAATGATGATCTTTATATAAAATTAATCTAATAACACATTAACAAAGATAGATGAAATAAAATTAACTATACTCTAAAATTAAAAAATAGTTTATTCTCCTATTTAAATGGAATTTCAATTTCAGAATTTATGAAAGCTTCTAATATTTTGTATTATAATAAATATATACATCCTTAAATTATAAGGATTAAATTTATTAGATATTAAAAATGAGCTACTCTTTTTTCATAATAGATTGTATTTTATGGATTGTACTAAATTCTTACTATTAGAAGCTTTTTCATAATAAGTGCATTTTTATCTATAATTTATAGTCTCCAATTAAAATAAAAAAATGAAAAAATCTATCAAGCTCTTCTTCTTGTATTAAGAATTTTTGGAGAAGTTTTAGTCTAGAGTTTGTTATTCGAGTCGATTTAGCTAGAAATTATTTTATTTAGGGCATGTTTGATGGCTTTTTAAGTCCTGATTATTTGACCCTAAAGGCACCAAGCCCTATGAATCTGCATAGGATATCACCACCAGAATTATTTTGGATAATATAATCATCTCTACAACATTTAAAGCTGTTTGTATAGTTGAAGGGTTAAAAACATAATTAAAAATCAACTGACAAATTTTGGAACAATTTTTTTATATCTACCTATTCCCTGAATAAAGCACATAACAAAGTAAATATAGGAATATCAGCAAACGAAGCTTGCTCATACATTAGATAATAAAACCTTCACTTTAGTTTATTGTAAGAAATTATTAAATTATATTAAAATTAGCTTAAAAAGATGGGGAAGGAGAAGAATAAAGAAATATCATTCTAAAAATGAATTAAAATGATCAATGCTAATGATTTTTTTTAGCATATGTTATTCCCTTAAATTGATTAAATGATAATAATAATTTTCTGTAAGGCAAGTTTTTAATCCAGAAAATATCTTTTCTAGATCACCAAAATACTATATTTTTTATATCAGTTTTTAATAAGGTTATTCTTTTCAAATGTGTTACTTTTGTTTACTCTCTATTTTATTAATTCTTCCGATTTATATCTTATAGCTTCTATTCTAAATTTTAAACTTATTTTTAAAGCTCAGAACATTCTTATTCTAGTAAGTTTATTTTAAATCTTTCTTCAGCCTAGATATTTTATAAGTATGTTCTTCTTCTGATAAAAACTTTTATATTCTTAAAGAAATACTTGACACACGTTTAATATGTTTCAATCACCATCCGAGCTTTGGTGAGTACTGTCACTGTCACTAGTAAAAAACCTCTCTTCCATAGTTTATTTTTATTTAAAGTATTAAGTCATCAAAATATTCTCTTAATAACTCCTCCCTTATAGGAAATAAGAAGCTTTATTATAGGGATTGATCTAATTTATCATATAATTCAAGCATATTTTATTTAGAAGTAGGTACATGAGAAACACAATAAGTTTGCAATTAATTATCTTAAGGATTAAAATACTTCATGACTATATTTCGCAAGACTTGAAGCTAGCAATATGTTGTTTAATATTTATATTAAAAATGAAAGTAATCAATCCCATTAAAAAATATAAATTTATAAAATTTTAATATAAACTACCAAATAATATTAATAATCTAAAAAAATAAAAGATGATGATTTTTTCAAAAAAGATTATGCCCATTAAGGTATTTCCTTAAATTTATATCATTATTTAATTAATAATTATATTAGTCACCTTAATCATCAATTTAATTTATATATGACAAGTAAGCATCAATTCAACTTATTAAATGACATCATGCATAGTAACTTTGTCTCTTGTTAAATTTTCACGAATGGGTGAATCTAATTATACTGTTTTAGATCTTTTCGATTTTTTTCAGAGTTATTACTACAACTGATACTATCTCATTTATTGATTATATATCCAAACCTGTCTGATCTTTTTTTTCTTCTCTTTTCAATTAAACATCTTCTCCTTCCCAAACTACTTTAGTTTCTTTAATTTTTAGACCAATAGCACTTCTGAAATTCTCCATAATTATTTCTGTCTTTTTCACCTCAACTGAATAAATTTCCTGCCTTTTCATAAATTTGTTGCTTTAAATACCTTTCTTGCTATTTATGATCCTACCATACAAGATGCATTTTCAAATGCAGTTCTATCTTCCTACAATCCCAATCCTTTGATATCACTAAGGTGTGCAATTCTTAAAGTTTTGCCTGTTTATTTCGAATATTCTAATCAACAATAATACAGAAATTATATATATTCATAAAGTGGTTAAAAATTTATTTATTCATTAGTTAATCAATAAACATTAATCTATTCTGTTATTATTCTAGATGTGCATTTAATTTGATATGAAAGCATGTTCAAATGTTTATTAATCAAAATAAGTATCATTTTCATCACTTATTATTTTGAAAGTTTAAAATTCTGTATCAATTCTTGATAGATTGGTTTAATTTTTTGATGTTTCTTTTGAATTAATTATTAACAAAATATTCTATTTATATTTATAAACTCTCTATTGGACACTTTCAATTGTTTATATGGCTTATAAAACTATAATTATTATTTAATTTACTTACATTTAATGCATTATTGGCTTTTATAAAATGGCAAAATTATTTGCATGAAATTGTTTCATTATTATACAAAATACTTAAATCAAAATTAAGTAATAATCTTTATTGGTTTCTTTAAACATTTGAAATTCTTTTTTAGAGATAAAATTGTTATTTCTTTGATATTTTAATGATCTGAAAAAGAATTAATTTTTGGACTGCTCTATTTTTTTTCTTAACAACTTGAATTATGGCTTTTTTGCCTTTTGAGATGATCTGAAGGATAATATTCCTCTTGATCTAAAAACTAATACTCGTCCTATCAAAAAACACACATTCACATTTAATTTCTTATGCAATATATTTATCCTATATTCCAATAATTTTACCTAATTTATATATGTCTTCTAAATACTCCTTCACATAATTCATTCAGGAGGTCTTTAATATTTTTGGTTCTAATATAGCAAATTGAATAAGTTATTATTTTTGGGTGTATCTACTTATGTATAAAGTATATCATAAAAAGTAAGATGAAATTCTTTTATATTGTTTAATTTGCATTTTATTTTTTTTATTGGACTGCTTTCAGATTTCCTAAATTTACAATCATTACATAATTGCAATAATTCCTTGTTAATAATTATTATTATCTCCAAAAATTCAGTTTAACATAATTTGTATACATTTTCTTATGAATATTGTGAAGACAATTATAGAGGTATTCTCATTATCAAGAGTCAAATACTTTTTCTAATAGAAGAACCCAATAATTAAAGCTGATTATTTTTACTCTAAAGAAACTAAATTACCTAAGATTAGTTACTTCCAATTTTATTATCAAAATCTTAATAAACATAAGATCATAACAAAATTAATTTCTTTTTTATTAAATTTTTTGATATTATTTTAGATTGTCTTTACTTGTAAATGAAAGTATTATAAACAATAATAATCTCTTTAAATTTTACTATTGTGATATTTGCTAAATAATGGTTCTTATTAAAGTAATTCAGAGTGTAAGAAGAGTTAAAATTTTTATTGCAAAATTTCTTTTATAATACCAAATATTATAAGGAAAATTTATTTATTTAAAAATTCAATATCATAATTTGAATTTATTATCGAATGAATCAAATAAAATTGCCAGCCTTTATTTAGGAACTCACCTTAAACCTAGAGTAGCTTTTAAAAAAGCATCTGCTAACAGACAAAAAATATAAAGATTAATCAATTCAAGTTCCAGAATTAGAAGAATATGATGAGCCTTTAAAATAAATTAAAAATAACAGGTAAGATCTTGGGAATTAAATATATAGCACTAAAATTAAAATTAATGTTAATGTTAACAATAAGGGGAATAAAAATTATTGGGAAAAAAATTAAATTGAATAATCATTTTAATAAGAATAGAGTATATAGGAGAAATAATTTAATGAAGTAAGTTTTGTTGAACAAATTTAGAAATAAGTTCAATAATAATAGTAAGATTAGAATTAAGAGGGTTATAATGAAGAATAATTAAATAAAAATTCTGATGAATAATAATAATAATAATAATAATAATAATAATAATAATAATAATAATAATAATAATAATAATAATAATAATAATAATAATAAGTCTAAAAAAAACAATATAGATCACATAAATTATCTTTGTCTGAATCAGAATCATCAAATAATATTGTAGAATATACACAAGATACATAAAGAAAAGCCATCAAGATATTGTTAGAAGAATAAAAATCCTAAAAGAAAATTTTGGACATTTTAGTGCGAAAATTGAAAAAGAAAAATATAAAAATTGAGTAAAATTTAAATAATTAAGAACAGAAAAACACTCAGTCATAAAAAAAATGTAAAAAAAAAAGTTTGAAATTGAAATCCTTAATTATAAATGCACTAACTCCTGAAGAAAGAAATCAGTTTTAATATTATATTGAGAAAAGTAAGTAAATTAGAATTTCTGTTTTTGGAGAGTAATAACAAGAATTCATTCAGTGTAAATTATGCTCCTGTAAATACAAAAGGTCACAACATTTAGTGAGCCACTGGAAAAAGAAGCATTAAAATGATTACGATAAAATCATTAATCCCAAAAATTCTTGAAAGCATGAAAATTACATTTGAATAATTATATATATATGTGCAACTTATAATTATTCAATTAAAAAAAAAAATTTTTTTCACTTTCATTGTATAACTTATAATTATACAAGTGAATATTCATTGTATATATTATAATTAATTTAATTCTTTAAATTATGTTGAATGTTAAAGTACTTGTATTAAATGTACACGAGCTGGTAACAATTATTAAGATTGTTATGAAGGTTACTATATATATAGAGCCAATTTTACATAATTCCGAAAATAATATGAATATTAAAATTTGCAGGTGATCCAGAAGATTCAACCTTTAAATGGTAATTCAAATAAAGCTTTTTAAATTACTCTAATTGTAGTATTTTGACCTAGATAATGACTATGTTATATGTACACTATGTTTAGGTAATTATGCAACTTGAGTTATTTCTAGCACTAATCGTGTTTTTTTGTACATTAGGAAATTTAGGTAAACCCAATCCCTCAATCTAAAGTATTAATTAATGCTTATATTTTTTAAATGATGGACATATACTAAGATTTTATTTAGATAAATAAATAATTTTTCATCATGTAGTTTTACTTATACTATTTTTTCTAATAATAGTCTTAAATATTGTTAATCATTTACAACAGGATAATTCTTGAATAATAATTCTTGTGATTAATGTTAAAGCCCATATCATGCATGTGTGCTTTCTCAGCTGATTTATATATTGTGTTTAATGTTCTGAACCATGTACATTTTAATCCAACTCCTTATACAGCCTTTTTAGTAGGATATTATTAAGATTGATCATAATATTAATAATATATTAAATGTTTAAGTTTATCAAATTACACTGCTTATGATTCTGCTGAATATGTTAATAATAATGCATAAGAAAAATAAAATTCTAATTGTTTAAAATATTAGATGGCTGATCATCGCGTGTCAATTGTCTTATTAATATGTATTTAAAAGTTAATAAGACACATGATAAATGTTTGTCCCCTTGTGTTACTTATGGTCTTTCATTTCAATTATGTTACACCTCAGTAATTAATTGTGCATAATGTGATGATTGTTCAACATTGAATATCATATATATCAAATTGTAATATTTGTACAATAATACTTAATGCATTGATTGTATAATGAATGGTATTTAAATTCAAATAATAATCATTATAATATTGTGGCTATAAAATCACTCTAACTCCATTTCATTACCAAACCTTTAATTTTTTTTTTGACTATATCATTGAATCAATTATTAGGAATTCCAATTTTTTCACTTAAGTGGCAGAAAAGTTACAAATTATAAAGATACATTGTATTAAAAATTATCATGAATTCATAAGTGATTAAAAATTCTTCAATCATCACATTAATATTCTAGTCATACCATGTTAAATCTGTCAAGATACACTATTTAATCTTAAGGTCATTTCTTAACATTCTTTCTTTTCACTTATGAGAAAGAATTAATTTTTATATTCACTCTACTTTAGAACTGTAAAATCCCTTTTTTTATATAAATCTGCAACTAGTTACAAAAGTTACATTTGGATATAGGGATTTCAATCATCTCAAAACTGGTAGTATCTAGAATAGTATTAGGTACACACAAATTATAACCAAATCTTTAGTTTCAAATAAAACATGTACTTAATATTCTATGTGCTCGAGAGGCTCAGTTGTCTCACTGATATTAAATACGCTTACTCTATACAGATAAATGTTCACAATTTTCAAATAATAATCTTAACCTCTGGATCGTATATATTTTAAGTTGTTTAGCACTTGCTGCATTGAAAGTTGGTTAATCAACTCATCAAGTATTCTAATTCATTAATGTATTATTCTTAATTAAATAAAAATTTACTATTGGGATGGGTAATTTTGTAACCTTGTCAACCAATAGAGGCAGTGTTAAAATTAGTACTCAATTTAGTCTTTAACTTGCAGTCTAAGATGAACATAGTTAAATGGGTAGCAAACCTTATTATAAATTTAGAACATGTGTGAATACGCTAAATAGATATTTGAGTTACTCATTAAATACTGAAGCAAATGCCTATATCAGATATTTTAATTTTATAAAAATGAATAGGATTTATATGGTAACACCATAGCAAGCGACTAAAAATGATTAATTATAACTAACAATTGAGATAATTTAATATTTTTCTCCTTTATATTTATAGAGAATATAAGGATTAATAAACTTAGAATAAAAAAACTGATTAAAAAGAACTCCTAATATTAAGAGATCTTGTTTACAGCAAGTATTATAAATTCACTCTTATTAAATTGATTACTCTGTTTTTTTTGTATTTATTCTATCTATTGTTTTGATTCCATTAATTTATCAAATAAAAATTATTTTTCTTATTCTTCTGATTCCTAATATGCATTGGAAATTAGAATAATTCTATATTTTTGGTCCTAAACCAAGTCTACTCGCGTCTTCTTTTTCCAGACGACAATTATTCATTCAACATTGCAAATAATCTACCTGATATTTTCTACATCTTTTTGGCATATTCTCATGTATTTGGATATATTAATTTTATTATCTTGCTTCGTTATCACACTTATGAAAATGATCTAATGGTAATGCTCCCCTATCTTATTTAAATACTTTGAATTACCTGATCTTTTTTTGATGCATTCTACTTGCTTCTATTTGACATAATTAAAATTTAATCAATATTTTTAAATATATAGCATCACAGATGATAAATTGTTCTAGATTTATCCTTTAAAAGTTTAAGTAATTAAAGATCAGCATTGTGATCAAGCTTGTATTTCTGAGCATTTTTGATTAGATTATCATTTTTTTCATAACTCATGAAGAATGAAGAATGTAAGACTAATTCTTCTTTATGTAAATCAGATGGTTAAGGTTGTATATTAGCTTCAACATCTTGTGTAGCATAAAATGGATATCTAGCTTTTTGTTAATAGGCATTAGATACTAATAATAAATCAACTTGTGCCAAAGGTACGTTAGTACAATTGACGCCTCCTGTACAAAGTTAACTTGTGAATTGAATGTTACTGAAACTACTGATTCAGAATGCTCATCATTCCATCCTGATTGTTTGAATAAAGGATTTGGTTGTATACATAAATCAGAAGTATGTTCCTCTTATTATCATACAATAGAACTATGTTGGAAATTTACAAGTAATGGAGTGTAATGCTTTGCTGATTTTGGAAGTCTTAAAGCAGCTTGCAGAAGTAGATCATGCACAGATTTGGCAACAGCTACTAGTGACAGCTAATGTGTAAATTTCTTAACTGGATGTCTATTCAGTGGAGTTGGATGTGTTAGTGAAAGTGCAGCATATAGTGCATCTAAGGGAACCTAATCAACTTGTTCAGGATTTAAGGGAAGTAATGGTACCAAGTATTGTTGGGGAGCTAGTACAATAGCTTCAGGAAATTGTGCAGATAGAAAATGCTCAAATAAAGTAGGCACAACAGATGCTGAATGTTAGACTTTTTTACCATCTATTGCTCCAGCAACTGCATAATTATGTATTACTGATGGTAAAACTTGCCCTTGATATTGGAAAAGCATGTTCATTCTTTAAAGGAAATGATGAAACATGTTTATAATTCACAGCTTCTGATGGTCCATGTAAAGCAAGTTCAGATTCAGCATCTCCTGTTACTTGTACTCCTAGAGTATGTTATGAAGCTTGAAACACATATAAAACAGATGATTAATATTCCAAATATCATCCAAATTGTAAAGCAACTTGTAGAGGATGCAAGAGTAGTATGGATGTGAAGAATTAACATCCTAAACTTCATGTAGAGCAAATACCTCCATAAGCAGGATAATGTAGAAATTTACCAACTACATTTGGTGGATTAACTACTTAAAGTCAAACAATTTGTGTGAATAATACATTGTCAACTAGAAAGAGATGTGCTTGGTTTATTGGTGCTTCTACCAGTGGTTGCAGAGATTTTACATGTACAGATTATGATGGATCTATTTCAACTCTAAAAGATTGTTAAGATAAAGAAACCACATGTATTACTAGTGGAACTGGTTGTATAACTCTAGGACTATGTTCATCATATAGATTAAATCTGTTTGTGAATCTGCTAATTCAGATGAATTATCTTTAAGATGTACATGGAATTCTACAACAGTAGCTTGTAGATAATGATAATGTGCAGATGGAGTATTTACTACTGATGATGCATTTAATATTTGGTTTACTGGATGTAAAACCTCAGAAAGTGCTTGTTTTAGACCAAACTTTGGATGTGATGTATATAATAGCAATCCTAAACTCTGTTTAAAGAACAGTGCTGGAAATCCATGTTTATATTTTGATGGTGTTTGCTACGATTATGATAATTGCACAGATGTTACTTCTTCAACATATACATTTTGCTAAGCCTTCTCTAAATAATGTGTTCCAACAACTACAACTTGTAGAGCTATTACTTTGTGTGATAAATATGAAGATATCTTTTCATGTACAATAGGTATTAATAATACTCAATGTGGATGGTTATCAGAAAGCACATGTAAAGAATATACAGCATATAGTGATGCATAAGGTGCTACATAATCAGGATGTACTAGTTGGGATCCAAATTGTGTTTCAGATGGAACCAAATGTATTGATAAAGGAACTTGTTCTTCATATTTAACCCCTTCAGCTTTTGATAATGAAGGTGCTGATGGACTTTGTTAGTGGACCGGAACAGCCTGTAGATTGAGAGAATGTACTAAGTAGCTACAACTGATGCTGAATGTGTTGCTTATGTTGTTAAGAGTGGAGTATGCAAAACTGATGGAGCTAAATTTGTCCCTAGAGCTACATATAGTTCTTATCAAAGTGGAGCAGCTTGTACAATTGGATAAGATGGAGTTCCATGTATATTTGATTTACCAGTTGGAGCAACCACAGGAACTAAATCATGCAGACCTAAGGAATGTTCAGATATCAAAGGAACTACTAATGATGCTTGTGTTGGAATAATTCCTAAAAAGCTTGTGTTTCTAATGGAACTGTTTGTGTTAAATAAGATATATGTGCCAATTATAAGAATAAATTATCATGTAAAGTAGGAGGTTCTGATGGTAAATGTGCATTCAATCCAGCACCAACAGATCCAAATAATGGACCCTGTTAATTATTCAAATCATGTAAAAATGCCAATAATGATTAAGATGCTTGCAAAAGAAAATAAAAGGCATGTAAATGGTCATCAACTACTACTGGGACTACCACTACAACTAGATGTTAACCTATGGATTGGCCAGGAATTGCTTCAGGTACTACTTGTAATCCTTTCCAAAGTTTCGATGGTGCATCAAGTACTATTTGTGTTCTAGTCAATAATGCATGTACTGTTGGTGATCCATCCACTCTTACTGCAGAAAAATGCTATAAGACAACAAAACTTTAAATAAATGTGTTTCATGCAAAGCTCCAACTAACAAAAACAATAATATAACCATTCCAAACACCACCGACCCAGGTACTAATACTTACGATAATGGATACATATTGGGTGTAACAATACCATTGGCTATTTTGGGAATCTTTGTTTGATTTTAATTTAAAAATTTATATAGGGAAAAATTAAGATATATTAATAAAAATTCATTTTTCACAATTTATTTTGAATAGAATTTAATTATTATTTATTCTAATTCAAATACATGTTTATTGTTAATTTAAAGATGAATTTTGTTAACTTAATATGTTTCTCTGAATTCTAATAATGTGTTCAACATAAATTAAATAAAATTAATAATTATATCTTTCTTAGATATTTTTTAATTTATTCATTTTAAACTGACATATATTTATTTAAAATTCCTTAAAATACATAAGTAGGTATTATTGATAAGCGAAAATTTAACTATTAAAAACATAAGTCATTACATAGATATCGTTAATAATAAATTTATTTGAAAGTAATTTAGTTAAAAACAAATGACTACTTATATTATAAGAAATAAACATTTTGTTTTAAAGTGTAATTTAAGAAGGAAGAGAAGTAATATAATTACTCCACAATTATTGAGATATCTAAAGCATATAAATAATAAAGATCAAAATATTGAATATAATTAATATTATAAAATTCTCCTACTTTTAAGGAGTGTAATTTATTAATTAAAAATAATTAAGTCACTCTATTTAATTATCAATTTCTTTATATTTTATGCAAAATCTTTATTATTTAAATATTGGTATATTAAATCAAAATTTATACTTTGAAGTAAAATTATAATTATAATGAATAGATCCTTAAATTCTTATTTCTTGTTGAATGTACTTTTACATTAAGGAATATTATCATCAATCTCAGTTANTAAAATAAGACACATGTGCCAATTATAAGAATAAACTATCATGCAAAGCAGGAGGATCTGATGGCAAATGTGCATTTAATCCAGCACCAACTGTTGCTGATCCAAATAATGGAACATGCTAATAATTCAAATCCTGTGAAACTGGAAATAATGATAAGGATGCTTGTGATAGTAAATCAAAGGCATGTAAATGGTCATCAACTACTACTGGAACTACTACTACAACTAGTTGTAAACCTATGGATTGTCCAGGAGTTGCCTCAGGTACTACTTGCAATCCATTCCAAAGTTTCGATGGTGCATCAAGTACCATTTGTGTATTAGTCAATAATTAATGTACAGTTGGTGATCCATCCACTCTTACAGTAGATTAATGCTATAAGACATAAACACTTTACTCATATACTTGGAATGAATCAACAAATAAATGTGTTTCATGCAAAGCTTCCACTAACAATAACAATAATACAACAAATCCAAACACCACCGACCCAGGTACTAATACTGATGATAATGGATACATATTGGGTGTAACAATTCCATTGGCTATTTTGGGAATCTTTGTTTGATTTTGATTTAAAAATTTATATAGGGAAAAATTAAGATATATTAATAAAAATTCATTTTTCACAATTTATTTTGAATAGAATTTAATTATTATTTATTCTAATTCAAATACATGTTTATTGTTAATTTAAAGATGAATTTTGTTAACTTAATATGTTTCTCTGAATTCTAATAATGTGTTCAACATAAATTAAATAAAATTAATAATTATATCTTTCTTAGATATTTTTTAATTTATTCATTTTAAACTGACATATATTTATTTAAAATTCCTTAAAATACATAAGTAGGTATTATTGATAAGCGAAAATTTAACTATTAAAAACATAAGTCATTACATAGATATCGTTAATAATAAATTTATTTGAAAGTAATTTAGTTAAAAACAAATGACTACTTATATTATAAGAAATAAACATTTTGTTTTAAAGTGTAATTTAAGAAGGAAGAGAAGTAATATAATTACTCCACAATTATTGAGATATCTAAAGCATATAAATAATAAAGATCAAAATATTGAATATAATTAATATTATAAAATTCTCCTACTTTTAAGGAGTGTAATTTATTAATTAAAAATAATTAAGTCACTCTATTTAATTATCAATTTCTTTATATTTTATGCAAAATCTTTATTATTTAAATATTGGTATATTAAATCAAAATTTATACTTTGAAGTAAAATTATAATTATAATGAATAGATCCTTAAATTCTTATTTCTTGTTGAATGTACTTTTACATTAAGGAATATTATCATCAATCTCAGTTATATTTAATTTTTAATTTTCTGAATAAATTGAATTCTTTTGAAACCACTTTAATTATTTCTTCTAAAATTTAACCATTAAATATTATGCCATTTAATGATTTATTGCAGATATAAAATCCAATCATAAATATTCTAATCTCCTAGTTGGGAATAGAATTTCATAAAAGGAACTTAAATAATGATGTTTAATTCTTGAAAGAAAACAAGGACTTCAAAAATTAAAAAAAGTGAGATAAATTTTAGAATATTTAAATCAGTATAAAATATTTACTTTTTTAGAAATTAAATATATTAATTGTCATTTAATATGTGCACAAGCCTGGCATAGCGCTAAAATATAGCTAACGATTAAAGTTATAACAGCAGTGAAGCTTAGATATATTATAAACACAGTAATATCAATGTAAAATAAGAGTGCTCCACCTATAAATTCGTTTGTTTTAAGCAAAAACTACCGTTAAGATATAATTACTTTTCCATGCATAATCATTTATGCTTCAAACAACATAAGAAAACTATAAATTACATGGCAAATTGCCCTTCCGATTAACACTCCTAAAAAAGCTTTCATTGTAAAAATAAAAATAATTAGCAAGAAAACCATAACAAGAAAAATAATTACAAGTATGTCTAAATATTATTGTGATAAAATACAATTTGATTTGTCCAGGATCCATTTATTAAATGTAAAAATAATAATGCAAGCAAATGTTCCAATCGTCATACAGAATAAATATAAGATTATGATGAATCCTTATTTATGTGCCCTTAAATTTGTTGCAATAGGAGCTCCTAATAGAAGGCCAATACAAAATGAAAATACTATGTAAAAAATGATATTAAACGGAAACTATTTTAGTAAAGTTGAATACCTTTCTTGCTGATCTAAAGATGTTTATTATAATTCCAAGACCTATTGTAAACATCATGTTTGTCCAATAAAAAATAGTTGCTGATGTCTAATAATCCAACGAATAATGCTTTTCTTTAAACCCAACTATTTAAATTAAACTCCATCGAAATTCATCACAGAAATATAAAATTACTATCATTAAATATAAACTTAGGATCATCCCAGCTAAAAATGAATATACCTTAACCATAAATAACATAGCTTAATCTAAACTAGCTATTGTATAATTATGATCAATTTAAGGAAATGAAAACCACATTAGCTTTTTTGTTAGGTCTGAAATTCCTGAATGCTTAAAATCTCCTTCCTGATTTGCAACAACAGGAATATCCTGATACAAGGCTTCATTGTTTATTTTCATGTTATAGATTTATAAAAAATTAATAAAAAATGTATATGGATTAATTAATTTTTATAATGAAAAAAGATACTGTTATATGGGATTTGAATAAAAGAATAAGTAAATAAGATTTTTATATGTAATAATTACAATATTAATGATAACCAAGTTGAATTAATGGAAATAGTAAAATATGGAATAATAAAATAGGATTTATATATTTCAAAGAAATTAAGAAATTTAATGATTTCATAATTACTAAGTAATAATATTTCATCTTTTTATTGAGTTTTTTATTAAAATTCATCCATACTAAAAATTAAATTTAGAATTATTAAATTTAATAAAATTGATTTTGTTTCAAATTGTATTGACATCATTTTGCTTTCATCATATGAAAAGTAATTAAATTTGATCATTTTTTTTGCTTTATCACAAAATAACCACTAAAAAATTAATAATATTAATTAATTTTAAACTAATTAATTAAATTTAATAATTCTAAATTTAATTTTTAGTATGGATGAATTTTAATAAAAAACTCAATAAAAAGATGAAATATTATTACTTAGTAATTATGAAATCATTAAATTTCTTAATTTCTTTGAAATATATAAATCCTTTTTATTATTCCATATTTTACTATTTCCATTAATTCAACTTGGTTATCATTAATATTGTAATTATTACATATAAAAATCTTATTTACTTATTCTTTTATTCAAATCCCATATAACAGCATCTTTTTTCATTATAAAAATTAATTAATCTATATACATTATTATTAATTTTTTATAAATCTATAACATGAAAATAAATAATGATGCAGACTAAGTTATTGTTCCTATAGTGGCACAATCATAAGAAATTGATGATGAAGGAATATTTAATCAAATTTCTAAAACTCTTTGCTTGTATTAATATTTCCCTTCATCCATTGATAATTCTAATCAAAGGTTTTCAACTAATGATAACTAATGATGAGCAAATGCTATTTATAGTTAAGCTATACTACTTTTTAGATTGCTAACTCATCATTGAATATCTCATGGTCATCATCCTGTATTATTCATTAATAATTCGATGGAGTTTAAATGATTATTTTTGTAACCCAACTTCTATTTATTGTGCTATGTTTACATGTACAATTTTTGAAATATTTGATCAGGACGTGAAGAAAAATTAAATTAATTCAGTATTTATATTTATGACAACTTTTTCTTGGCATGCGTAGCTAATAATACTAAGCGTGATCATTCATATAATCAATTGATGTCTTCTGCTATTTGAACAAGTTAGTATATGAATATATATATAATCTAATTGTTTAAGGAACAAAATGATGAGGAAATCCTTATAAAATAGCTAATCAGTAACGACATATAAATCTTAAAGACACTTGAAAAGAGCCAGGTCATTTGTTTTTGAGGATTAAAAGTTTTGAATTTAGATTAGATACTTATTTTTTGTTTTAAAATTTAATAATTATATAAGTATATAATCTGTTTCTTTTTTTGAAATAATTTATATTTCCTTGGCTTATTATTTAAGAGATACAAAACCTTCATTTAGTTGAATTTATAAACTTGTTTATTTCAAAGCCTTGATGATGCGCTTTATTTTAATTCATTTCATAAATTCTTTATTATGAATATTATTTTTTTCAACTTTGTTAATTTTTTTTAATTATGGGCTCAAATATAAGAGAACAAATTAATACAATGATTGGATAATTGATTTTTTACTTATATATGATATGCTTTCATTTTATTGAGAATTTTATGTTTATAAGATCAGATTCAATAAAAATAAATTAAAATGCTTAATTTAAAATTGAATAACATGTGGATTATTTATTTATTTAAAGATCAGTTAATAATATATATTTTGAGAAATTAGTATAATGATAAAATTTATATAATTTTCAAAATAATACAGCCACTTTTAAAATTCAAATTAATTATACAAACAATAAATCAATCACTATGATCTTGTAAAAAACAAGATATATTTAAAATTAACATTGAGAATCGAAAATAAAAGCCTCGTATTATTTTATTAAATATCATATTAGTGATTAGATCTATTTTCTAAATGGATCTTGATAAATTGTTATTAGATTACAAATAATTTTGATTCTAAGAATGCTATCTAATTTATTAATCAAAATTAGCCAATTTATTTTTTATATTGAAAGTAGTCCAAAAAAATGATATAGATATAGTTACAATTCCATCTAAATCTAAATAAACAATACCTTGTAATGGTTATTAGATTATGGAAAAAAAGAAAGAAATAGCAGACTCTTTTATATCTAAGATGATTATAATTATATAAATCATTAATTAGAAGGTTTAAATCATTAAAAAGCTTAAAAAATTGCCATTTATTTTTACTGAATATTTGGTCTAAATATATCTATATAACATATTATTAAAAAGACATTAAAATAATTAATCATTTATTTGATATGAAAGAACTTATGCTATTATTATATATTTTATTAATTAGATTACTTATTATTATATTATACATTCGTTGTCTATTTCGTTTAATTATTGTTATTCATTTGATTTATTAATATTATGGAATCTTTCTGTTCTCCTTGCATTTGGAGTATAAAATTAGTCTATGATGAAATTGACTCTTAATTTTTAATAAATATATTGAGATTCAACTTCTGTGTATAATTATAATTTAAGTAATTCTACTTAACTATTTAGTCTTTTTATTTTGATATTAATATTATCTCCTTTTTTATAGTGATCTATGAAAATAATTTAGAAAGATTTTTGTTATTATTTCTAAGGAGAATAGGGAGGATTTATTCATATTGGTAAGAAAAATTACGCCATTTTATCAAAATTGGTTTTTGAGCAAATATTCATAACTAATTATTTATTTCTTATTTATTATATATAAGCTAATTATTTTAATATAATGTTGGAATTAATATTGTTAATTTAATATTATTAATCCACTCAAATATATTTTGGAAGTTCATTCCCAAAAATGAAACTATTAAACATTTCAAATGGATTTTATCTTTGATTTTCAGGTACCATCTAATATTAATATATACAAATAAATTTACATGTCCAGATCCTTTTACTACAATGAATTTCAAGTAATATATTAGGTGATCCAACCTGCTAAATCTTTATCAGTATTGCCCTATGGAGTCTAAGAATCTAATTCTTAAATACCTGGTATCATATTAATGGATTATTCAGTTTCTACAACGTTAATAACAGCATCCTAATCACCAGAATATATTAATATCTTTATTCCTGATTAACTTAATAATGGAAGTATCTAATAACTTCCATTATTACTAATATTAAATGCCTTATTGACTTCTTAACTACAAGCAGACCAAAAATAAGGTCTTTCTTATATATGTAAAGCTTCTTGAACTTTTGCATTATTATAGTATTCATTAATAGGTCCAAAATCAGAACAAGGAGCTTTTCTTTTATCATCATCATAGAAATTGTTTCCTTCATACCAAGACACATATGAATATCTAATCTATTTGATTGTTTTAGTTTTTGGTTTCAAAAACTCAGGGGCTTCTTTACAATATCCATATATATTATAAACATTAATATTTGATCCTAAACAAATTTAGTCTGATTCTGGTTTGACACTGCATATTTTTTAATTTTATTTGCTGTGGTAGGAGGTAGAAAATTTCTTCTTATGAAAAACTCTTATAAAGTTGATCTTCTTATTTTTGCATCCCATATATTTAAAAATAACTATAGAATTTCTTCTATATCAATAACCCATTTCCAATTAAGATACTTTCTAAAGGTATTTTTAATACTGATGATTTATTTCCTTCTACTATTTCTTTAGCTGTATATGGAATATATATTCCTAAATATTATTAAATTTAAAGTACCTGCATATGATTCACCNATATTTAATGTATTATTAAATTGAAATTAAAATCATTAATCATTTATTTGATATGAATGAACTTATTTTATTATTATATATTTTATTAATTAGATTCATTAGTATTATATTATAAATTCTTTGTTTATTTCGTTTAATTATCTTTATTCAATTGATTTATTTATATTAGTATTAGGGAATCTTTCTGTTCAACTTGCATTTGGAGATAAAATTAGTTTATGATTAAATTGACTCTTAATTTTTCATAAATATATTGAGATCCCGCTTCTGTGGTAAATTATAATTTAGGTAATTCTATTTAACTATTTGTTCTTTTATTTTGATATTACTATTATGTCCTTTTTTAGAGTGATCTATGAATATAATTTAGAGAGATTTTTGTTATTATTTCTAAGGAGAATAGGGAGGATTTAATCATATTAGTAAGAAAAATTACGCCATTTTATCAAATTAGGCGTTTGAGCAAGTATTCATAACTAATTATTTATTTCTTATTTATTATATATAAACCAATTATTATAATATTATGTTGGAATTAATTTAATATTATTAATCCACTCAATGATATTTTGGAAGTTCATTCCCATAAATGAAACTATTAAACATTTCAAATGCATTTTATCTTTGATCTTCAGGCACCATCTAATATTAATACAAATATATTTACATGTCCAGCTCCTTTTACAACAATAAATTTCAAGTAATTATATTATGTGATCCAACCTGCTAAATCTTTATCAGTATTGCCCTATGGAGTCTAAGAATCTAATTCTTAAATACCTGGTATCATATTAATGGATTATTCAGTTTCTACAACGTTAATAACAGCATCCTAATCACCAGAATATATTAATATCTTTATTCCTGATTAACTTAATAATGGAAGTATCTAATAACTTCCATTATTACTAATATTAAATGCCTTATTGACTTCTTAACTACAAGCAGACCAAAAATAAGGTCTTTCTTATATATGTAAAGCTTCTTGAACTTTTGCATTATTATAGTATTCATTAATAGGTCCAAAATCAGAACAAGGAGCTTTTCTTTTATCATCATCATAGAAATTGTTTCCTTCATACCAAGACACATATGAATATCTAATCTATTTGATTGTTTTAGTTTTTGGTTTCAAAAACTCAGGGGCTTCTTTACAATATCCATATATATTATAAACATTAATATTTGATCCTAAACAAATTTAGTCTGATTCTGGTTTGACACTGCATATTTTTTAATTTTATTTGCTGTGGTAGGAGGTAGAAAATTTCTTCTTATGAAAAACTCTTATAAAGTTGATCTTCTTATTTTTGCATCCCATATATTTAAAAATAACTATAGAATTTCTTCTATATCAATAACCCATTTCCAATTAAGATACTTTCTAAAGGTATTTTTAATACTGATGATTTATTTCCTTCTACTATTTCTTTAGCTGTATATGGAATATATATTCCTAAATATTATTAAATTTAAAGTACCTGCATATGATTCACCTGCAATAATAAATTTATGTTTTTTGAAATTATATAAATCCTTAAAGCCAAACTAATAGAGCTTAGTAATTGTCTTAACCAGAATTCTCATCATTATATTCATATTTAGTATCAATATTAATTGAAAATCCTACTCCTGTAGGTGATTTCAAGAATAAAATATTGGCTCTAATATTCCATGAATAAGGATTCTTCTTGGATTCTCTCATCATCCATTACAAATGGACCAATTTCTTCATTTAGTCCTAATAATGAAGAACATCCAGGCCCCCCACCTAACCATACAACAAGAGGGTCATTTAATGGATTTCTTTAACTTTCGAGAAAAACATAACTCAATTATCTACATTTTAATTGAATATACCTTAATCCTGCTCCTATTTGCAGATATCCTGAATAAGAATTAAAACTATATTCTCCCAACCTGGAAATATTACTTTATTAGTATCAGGGTTAACAGCATAAACTATTCCTATTGCAATTCCAGTCATTAATAATGACATCATTATTATTATTTATTAATTAATTATAATACTATCGATTCAAATATCTGATTAATTCATCATTAATTATGTAATAGATTCTCATCGCTTATTGATATTGTAATGTATTGTAATTAATAGTATTTTTTTGAAATTTCTATTAATCTTCAATTTGATACTCCCAATAAGAAATTTATAAAAATATACAATAGAGAATATGAAGTTGAATGCATTATAGATAAACGATTTGATGAACATAGTAAATCCTATTAGGTTAAACTAAATAAAAAGGTTATTCACACTCTTAAAATGGTAACCTTTTTGAGATTCTATAAAATCCACATATGAAAATACTGGTTATAGAATTCGATTAAATAAAAGGAATTTCTTCTAAAAAAAAATTAATATTAAATTTTTTCAACAATTTTGATTAATGAAACTCAAAGAGTTTTTAATAAAAAATATCACTTAAGAAAATGATATCCTGGAAAATATGTAAAGTGATTTCAACATATCATCAAACAAAAAAAAACTCTAATTGAAAAATGCTTAAATTTAGGGAGGATATTAAAATGTCCAATAACAAAACTAATTAAAAGTTCTAGAATGCTCTAAACTCTTTAAATTCCAATTCTTAAGTTTTAACATAATCAATAATTTGTAATATATTTAATAAAAAAGAATAATTATACATATTGTAGGCAACAATTTCTTTTATCTCGCTCTAGTAGTTGAAATCATTTTAAGAATTTTTATATTCATTAATAATAATAAAAATGAGAAATATTAGTGATAATTGATTTATTTTTTAATTTAGAAATAAAAGATGATATTAAATAATGCAAGGGAAATCTCAAAGAGAACTAGATAGTTTATTGGCTCTTAATTCATCATTTATTACTTAATCTACAAATCAAGTATTATTTACTGGATTTACTTTTAAAACCTAATACTCCAATAACAGTTTTAGCTTGTAAGAAGTGGGGAATATATGTATATATTGTCAAAATTATGTAATATAATGCCCAAATAAGTAAATAGAAATCTGAATCATTTCAATGTTTGTTATTATTGTAATAATGAAATTATTCAATTAAGATATGAGTATCTTATTGATAAAAACTCTTAGTAACGATCAAAATTTTCTAAAATCAATTAATGAAATATTTTAGAAAATAAAAGAAAAAGAAATCATAAAAAAATAGATTATGTAAATAATAATATAGTACAATTGAATCTCTCAAAAGGTCTATTTTTCTTAAATTTCTACTATTGATTAATTAGAGTATATTCATATATATTTTGGTTTTTAGTTATAATAGTAACTAGGAACTTTTTTGAAATTAGTAGAAGAACCTTGAAAAAGAAAGAAAGGTTTAATTCAATAAACTGAGTTAAAATTTAAAATAATGATCACTTAATTAAAAAAGAATACAAAGATTTATAAGCATTCACTTCTATTAATAGGATGATTTTACGTTTAAAAATTTAATTTTTGATGAGGTTTGTAAATTTTTATAAATTAAACGAAATTACATGTTAAATGATAAAATTAATATTATCTTATATCATTTTATACAAGAGCCATTATAGAATAGAAGAATATTTATACTTTTAAAATAGAATAATAAAAGAATCCAAAATTATAATATTTTAATACAGTAGAAATTAGACTTTATTTCAATGATGATGAAGGAGAATTCAAGAAGAATGATGATCTAGATTAATGAATCACAATTTGCATCAGTATTCATTTTTTGTTATTTAGAGATTTTTAAGTAAAAAAAGTTAGATTTAATCAAGTCCTAAACATTTATAAATGTTTTACTTATTTAGAGGAGGATTCTTGAAATCAAAATTCTGCAAAAATAATTTATTTCAAACTGTGAAGAGTACAAAAAGAGAAAAACTAAATTCCATTAGACATAAAAGATTTGGAAGTGAAAAAAAGCTATAGAGTTATTGTTTAAAAAATTTCCTTTTGATAATTTTTTTCATATTAAAATTAAATCTCTTACACTAATTTTTTCTGTTTCCATCTATCTTTTTCTAATAAAATAGCTAGGTCAAAATTATAATAAATTTAAAAATATTATTTATTATTTTCATTGTTTAGATTATTATTTCTTATATGCTTTCTCATTCAGAATCAAGTTTCCAAAATTATATTTGGTTCGAATCAACAATTTTTATTTCATTCCTATATTTTTATTTTGACTATGAGTTTAAAGTATCATCATCTGGATTGAGCCTTATTGTAGATAACATTATTCTATATTATAAAAGATAATACTTATTATTTTAAAGTTGGGATTTTGAAACTCTCATAAGGTATTATCTTAATTTTTTGATTAATTCTTTTTATCTCTTCTTTTTAGAACTATGCATCTATAAATTTATTGATAATTTTGTTGTTATTCTGGATTTCTTTGATATCTTTTACATAATTTAATATGATTTATTGATTATAAGAAAATAATAATTTTTAAAGTAAACACCAGATATATTTGAAATGAATGGATAGCAAAGTCTAATACAAAGAAGGACTATAAATGTCTGAAGTGATTTTGAAGAAAATTAATTATTTTCTTATTCTGATACATATTTAGCAGCAGCTAGGAATATTGCAATAGAACAAATCTAACCTGAAAATAAATCCAAATTATTTAAATTCTATAGGTTGAATGGCTTATTTTTCACCGCTATTAATTAGTAAAATAGTAGACATAACCCCAATAACGAAGCTTTTAGTAGGATATGAGTTTCAAAATATGTTAATATTAAGATCATAATAGTCTTTTTAATTAATTTAATTATTTCCCAAAAGTAAGTTTTATTTTCATATTCATTAATAAGATAACAAAAATTTTTTCTAATTTTAATAGTTTCAAGATCATGTCTTTTAACATACATTAAAATATAAAGTGAAAGAGGAATGATCAAGCAAAAAAATGCTATTCCTGGTATAACGAAGAAAAACATCCAAATTAAATGTTCTCTTGTTCCAAAAAGTAATGAAACATCACCTTAAATGTAGTTTTGATTTGATATTTCCCTTCTTGAAAGAATAGAAAAATACCTAATATTCTTAAAAATTAAATACATTTTAATTAATCCACCATAATTTGATACATACAAATATAGCAAACTATTAGATATAGTATCAAAATAAAAAAAGGATAAATTTAATTTTTTATGCTTAAAGTAAATGAGAAATCCCATAGTAACAAGGATAAATTAAGTAGACATTAGGGATAGCATAGTAATTATTTTAGTATAAATCAATTTTATAGATTAACTTTCTGATAAATAACAATCTAAATTATTCGTCATTGACTAGGAAGTATTACTAGCTGAATCAATAAAAGTGAATGAAAAAGAAAACTATATATTAAAAGTAAAGATAGCAGAGAAAATCCACAAATAATTTAACAACATTTTAATAAAAAAACTTTCATGTCCTTATAATAATTAATGATATATACCTTAATTTAACTTAAATAGTATTTTTCCATATTTTTATATTAATACTAAAGATTTAAATAATTGATTAGACTCTTCAATACTTCTTAATGTTATGATGATTGATAAAAATGACCTAAATATTCAATTAAGAAATTACCAAATTGAAGATGCAATAAAGGGAATTATACTATCCGAAACACCAAAACAAGATATACATTCTGAGTCCTATTAATTTTTAAAATATTTCCCATCTCCTCTAATATTATAGATATCACATTCTTCACATAAAGCTCCAATTCGTCCTTGAGAGCAGATTAAATCACCATATCCCCATCCACCCTTACAGAATCTCAAATTTTTAAAGCATTACTCTATTAAATCAGACAAATAATCTGGTCTCCAAAAACCTTCCAATAATTCAATATTATTTTCTGTTATATTCTTAAATTTGGTTTTATCAAAAATAGAACACTTTGGTGCATCATATACAACCGAATAAAAACCTTAACTTGATTAACAAATCTAACAACCAGAATTCACATAAAATTCTCCAAGCTAGCATTTTAAGCTTTTTGCTAACATAACATATCCAAAGATTTTTTATACCTAATCTGAGAAACAATTGATTTAAATTTATAACCTTTTTTATTCTTCATTGTAAGGATCAAAAGTGAAAGAGTAAGAGCCTAAATCGTAGTAATCTTCTTAAATGTCATATTGCAAATTTTTTTATTCATTCAATTTTCCTTCCTAATTTAAGTTCTCTCCATCAATTACTTTAGTAATCAGAGTGCAAGTAGAATTTAAATAATTCTTAAGTTTTTCATTTAGACTATTTTTTAAAATTAGTCCAAGATTTGATATATATGAAAAATATTACAAGCTTTAAGGCTCATAGATTTTATAAGTAAGAATAACTTAATTACTTGGGATCATTAAAAAATTTTTAATTAGAGGGGTTCCTTATTCAATAATTTTATACTATTTAAGAATTAAATATTCAATCATAATCTTATTGATAACTTACTATCTTGATTTCATTTCCTTATTATTTATTATTAATGCCAAATGATGAGGAGATTCAATAAGGTTATTTCCAAACTAAAATGCCTGATTGAATAGTAAAAAAGATTAAATAAAATTAGTAAGAGTCAATTTTCCGGCATCTTTGAAATAGATTCCCCCTCCATCTTAAGCTGTGTTATTAGTAATGATGGTTGATTTAATTTAAAAGTAGTTATCCTTTAATTATAAGTGCATTCCTCCTCCAAATTCACTAGCATAATTTTAAACTATTTTGCAATTTTTCATATTTAGTCTAACATTAGCAATTGAAATTGCTGCTCCAAGACTACCAGTATTCTTTAAGAAGTAAGGGTCACTGATTCTAATTGTTGAATTGATAAAATTAGAATTCAACAAATTAATACAACCATTTTATTTCACACTATTTTAATAACAAATTATATTATGTAAATAGATTTTCTTGCATTTTTCAACAAAAAAAGTGATTATTCCTTTAGAATATTATGACTCATTATTATCAATTAAGTCTATTTGATAAAAGATAATAGAGCTTAATTCTGATTTGCTATAAACATAAATTATTTAATTAAATTGAAAATCATAAGATTAAAATTAAGATTTAATCTCAGAAAATACGATTTATTCCTAAATAGAAGAGTTTTTCCACATATCACATCCAATTATTTAATAATTATAATCTTAAAAAATAGGTATTTTGTCTTATTTGATATCATATATTGAACTCTAAATTATTTTTAGTTATTAGATCAAAATATTTGATTATGAAATTGTTGCTTAAGTTAAATGTATTAGATCAAATGAATATAATTATTATATATTAGTTATCTTACAATCAGAAATTTTTATGTAATTTGTATTTAAAATAGTTAACAATGGTGAAATCGAAATTCCTTCAAATTTGAGATTATTAATTTCAACTTTGCAATTTTCAATAAAGATTAGTCCATTATTTTCACTCTTTATAATATTCATTTCAGACTATGACATCACACCAATTTTAGAAAATAGTTTTATCCACTATTCTTCTCTTTACAAAATTGTTAAATCATTAATACTTACCAAACTTGATTACATAGCTTCATTTTGAACTTTAAGGAAAAGTATCGTATTCACTAAGGAAAGGCAATTTTCAATTAGAATATGATTTAATTTAATTGAAAATTTTTTAAATGCTATTCTTTCTAATTAAAGATTTAAAAAACTATTTGTAGAAACTATAGTTATACAACAGGAACTTTCACTCTTTTTTAAATTAGTCATTATGGAATTAATCTAAAGATTATTGAGCATAATTAATCCTTATCCTTTTGTTCTAATCTCAAAAATTGAACTTTTAACAGTAAGAATATCTTAAAATTTCAGTTTGTGCAACTGAAATTAGATGCTATAATCAATATTCCTTGATTTAAAATTTGAAAGGTTGACTGAATTATCGTATTTATTTCTTACTGGTTAAATTCATCATCTAGTACAAATTCATAGAATTGTTACCATTGATTTATGATAATATATTTTAATTAAAAATATTAAAATTTTTAATCTCAATTAAATTAGCACAAAGACTAAGATATGAATTAGTTGATTTTTTTAGAGTATTATGAGAGCAATATAAATTATCAATTTAAATAATGCTGTTTAATGAATTTATATATAATAAACTAGTTTTTTCCTCTGTAGAATCGTCAATTTATTAATGAATTATATTTTAAAAAATACCATTTCACTTAATTTAAATTTAAACTATGTTATGAATATAGACTAAGCAAGGACAATGACACTGCTTATTAATTCTTTAA